TATGTTTAACTTTATAAGAGACTACCACTCCATTTTCCAGCTTTCAAATTGGGTCATTTTATATTCCCATTAGTGACATATGAGAGCTCCGCTTGTTCCACAGGGCCGGCAACACTGAGTGTTGTTAGTCTTTTCAATTTTAGCCATTTTAGTGGTTGTACAGGAGCAACTTGTGCTTTTGATATGCATTTTCCTGATAACTAATGATATCGAATACATTTTTTTTGTGCTTATTGGCCGTTTGTCTATCCTGCTTTCTGTATAAGTCTTTTGCCCATTTTTGATTGGATTGTTTATCTTACTGTTGAGTTGTAAGAGTTCCTTATATATTCTGGATACAAGTCTTTTGTCAGAATATTGTGAATATTTTCTCCCAGTTAATGGCCAGACTCTTCAATTTCTTAATGGTGTCTTTGGATGAGCAGAAGTTTTAAATTTTGGTGAAGTCTAATTTATCTTTTTTATAGTATTGCTTTTGATATTTTGTCTAAGATACCATTGGCTGCTGTTAGGTCGCAGAGATATTCTCCTATGTTTTCTTCCAAAACCTTTAAAGATTTAGAATTTTTATTTCAGTCTATGATCTATCTTTAATTTTTGTATATAGTGTGAGGTAGGAGCTGTAATTTAACTTTCCTTCCTGTAGGAATATCCAATTGTTCCAGCACCATTCTTAAAAAGGTTTTTTATCCTTTATTGAATTTCTTTGGCATTTTTGTTGAAAATCAAGGGACTATAATCGTGGATTTATTTCTAGACTCTATTTTGTTCCATTCATCTATTTGTTTGTCCTTATGCTGATACCACACTCTTGATTATTTTAGCTTTAAGTAAGTTCTTAAAGTCGGGTAGTGTTAGTCCTCCAGCTTTGTTCTTCTTTTTTAAAGATAGTTTGGCTATTCTAGGTCCTTTGTATTTCCGTATAAATTTTAGAGCCATTCTGTCAATTTCTATAGAAAGGCATGGGTGGCATTAGGATTGAGATTGAGTTGAATCTGTAACTTAATTTGGGAAAAGTGTGTGTGTGTGTTTGTGTGTGTGTGTTACACATGTATTTACATATACACATTTTTTTGGGGGGGAGAAGGATTAATGTATTCATACATTTTAGTCTTCTAATCTGTTTACATGGTACATCTCTCCTTTTATCTAGGTTATCTTTAATTTAATACTATATATTTATGAAGGAGCTTGAAATTTATGCCCTTTACATCTAGCTATCTAATGCATATATTTTGTTGTTACACTATGAGCTCCATATAATAGGGACTGTGTCTGTGCTCAACATATCCCCAGGGCCTATAGCTGTGCCTGGCAAATAGGAGGGGCTTAAGTGAATGTGTGCGGTTAACATTTTGGCTCTTTAGTTATAATAATTTTTAGAGTAGTTAATTGATGATTTTTGCCCCTTTCATAGCATTCCTTTGGAGTAGGCCTTATTGTCCTTTCACAATTGGAATTTAAATAACTTTCTATAAAGCTAAATCTTGCCCCATTCAGAGTGCTGTCTTCTTTGGTTGGCTTTTACATCAAGGAAATATAATGCAGACCAGAAAAGGTTTATTGAGAGTCCTGAAGATTTGACAGAAAATAATACTGACTGGAATTACTAATTAGAAGATTAAAATGTACCATTTTCAAAATAATGAAATACTTTCTTTTACTTTCTTCCTGAAAATATAGACATAAAGAAAACTAAAATTAAATAGCAATTAATATTGAGGAAAATTTAGGTGCTTTACTAAGGGCCCTTAATTTCACTTATAAAATTTGCTTCTATAAAAGGTCAAAGAGTACCCAGCTTTTCCAAAGACCCATTTAATTTAATGACTTTCAGAAACAAACACTGTGGAAATAAAGATAATAAGGGGGCCATAAAATTTCATGCTTTAGTGTTTAGGTAATTGCTTGTTAAATTAAAAAGGTATTTTTTCTGGACATGGGTATACCCCTTTCTTTTTTGGTGAGAATATAATGAAAGTTTTCCTCTAATCTGGTTGAATTCCATTTGGCTGTCCAACAATTAGTCCAATATTAATTTTAGTGGGTTAAACTAATTCATTTATAACCAATTGAAGATAATGAAATAGTTGATGATTATATTACTGTTATCAGAAATTTCTTTGATTCAAGTTTGCACAAGAGAAGATTACATGACAAAGATGGCCTACTTTGATTGGTTCAGTAAACAAGAAAATGTTTATATGCTTCCTTTTGCCAAGTTATGATAACAAAATAACCCAATAAATACATTATTAAATGATCACTTCAAAATCTTTAGTTAAAACTATTCAGTTAATAAAATTATTTTACTGGGTGCATTCACTTAAAAATAATTTTTTAGAGCACACTGTTAAATCACATTCATATGTTGAAACTTGGAATTTTGAGGACAATGCTTTTATAGTATGATAAAGATATGAGTATCTTACTATTTTATACTTTAATTATACATTTTGATATGCTTGTTTTCTGAAATGGGGAAGTTAGTCATTCTAATATTTCATTAAGAAAAAGCATGTATGAGGTGTGTTCTTTATGATATACAAATCTAAATAGAATCTTTCCCTGAATAACTCTTACTTCATTGTGCTTGAAATAGAATATATTTGGTATCTGTCTTAATAAAAAAATTTTTTTTAACACAAAGATGCTTTACTAATGTAATGAGAAAATACTGTATAGCTTAAAATATTAATTGTCTTATATGAATCTTTTAAACTTTATTTTTTGGTACGACTTTTATTTTCCTTTTGTTAAGCAAATAGGCAGCAGGAAGGTCATAATAGGAGAATCATCACCATGAAATGACTTTAAATTGTTTTACTGAGTAGACTTCACTTGTGCAAACAGAAAGCAAGTCCCTGAAAACCAATTTAATGGTCAGAAAAACTTTAAGGTCTAATACTTCAATGAATTCCTATACTTTCTTTCCTGGGTTGAGTACAAATAGGCCTCTAAATGTATATTTAAAAAGTGAGCTGATGCAATGCTGCACATTTGTGGTTCTGCTTAAGAAACTTTGCAGCATTGTTTCTCTAAGTATTTTTTTAACCTACTATGGGTTTACGTTTCAGATAAGATAAATAAAACATAAGTGCATTTATATAATTCATAAAGTCATTGAAAGTAAGGCAGTTTTAATAGACTCAAAACAGATAGTCATTAAAGTTTAAATTCTTCTATAAAAACATACAGTGTTACTAGTAATCATGTATCCTGATATTTTTGGTCCATTAGCGTATCTACTGGCATGCCCCCTATTTTAGGTAGATAAATCTAGCTGTTAGAGGAATTTAATATATCTGTTCTACTATGCTAAATAGTAATAGTAAGATGATGATGATGACAATTATAGTAATACTCATTGAGTGTTTTCTATGTGCAAGACCGTAAGTAAGCCTCTTTACATACTTTTCTTCTAAATGAATGAGAATGCAGGTGATTTTCTTGTGTTTTCACCACAAAATGTCAACTCAGCCATTTATATTTTTCAGTGGCTCTACTTAAACTCTCTGCTGCTCTCCACCCACTACTTATTAGGCTCATGGTGGTGGCAGAAATTCTCTCTTTCCTGGTCTATCTTCACTCACACGCACAGAGGATTAAACCCTGGAAAGAATGAATTGTTTGTTCATCTAATAATTGGCATATTCTTCAGACGATGTTTCAAGACTGAATATTTTAGTCAACAGTTTCTTGCACCTTGAAGATTGTTGACATGGAAATGAAGCTGAGAGTTAGATGGTAGGAATAGACTTTGAGTACTGTGACACACTGTTTATCTACATACCATCAAGACTACAACATTGGAAGTAAATAAAGAACAATACAGGCCATCCAAGAAAAGGGGAAAGGGTAGGGGGAAAGAAGGAAAGAAAGGGACTTGGAAGAATGCATGAGACATTTTCACCACATGCCACATGTGACTTGATCTTGCAGCAGGAAGCCTCACTGATTGTAATATGCTCCATCAGGAGCTTGAAAATCGAACCTCATCCCACTTTCTTGGCAGCGTCCCAGTCACTGCTCCTCAGTGCTTGCTCTGACAAGCTCCTCAAGCAGAAACCTATTTGTGTGCATTTATTTTATGTGAATCTGAATCTTGAAATACTGTGATACAGAGAAGCAGATTTACTCCATTTTGATCCTCTTGTGAGATGTCAGCGTTCTAATTCAGTCCATCCATTTTCCAGAATGTGAGTCTCGATGCAGTAGCACTTTGTCAGTTAACCCAGACTGTTAGATAACTACTTTTCATCATAAATTATGTTTTATGTTCTAATATTGAAAGTAACATATTATGGAGGTGGGTGAAAAATTCCCATTAATTTTTCCCATACAGCCTAGGCTTAGAAAGAGTACTCTTGCTTGCTTTATGCCAGGGGTTTGCAGAAGATATATGCCATTGAAGAATGCTTCTTTATTGCAATAGTGATATTGAAGTCCTTTCTAATCAAGTTACCAACTATTCTAGTAATATGATCTGCAGGTTGTATATATTTTTCATATGCATTACCAGAATAAAATATTGGTTTTCCAGAATATACTTTCTTTCCCCAATTATCAGAACTAACGAACCCAATATATTCCCTCTTAACCGTATACTCAAGCAAGTTCAGAATGAAATTTTGTAAAATCTTTTTAATTTGTAATTACTTTGAATTATCCTGTTTTATATGTATTTCAATTTTGTAAACAAATTCTCTTTTGAAGTAGATGGATTATAAGTTATTTTGGCAGCATATGTTTAATTTCCCTTTACTTAAATGAAATGTGAATGAATGATATTTTTGAAACTATAGGTTTTGGCCTGTTCATCTCCCAACACATATGCATTATGTTTGTTGTTATCCTTCAGTGAGAATCATAATGGAATCTTTGTTTTCAGTCATCTTTTCAATTGCTCAATACTTGATTTGAACTAATGACTAAATAATTTTTCGAAAAGAAATGAGCAGTGATTTTTAAAGTTACTATTATTATTATTTCTTTTTCAGTAAGGCTAGAGAAGATCTGCTTAAAACTCAGAAAGAACGTGATTTTCATCGAATGCACCACAAGCGAATAGTCCAGGAGAAAAACAAATTAATTAATGACCTCAAAGGGTAAACTGCTGATGTTTGTTGGCATTATCTATTAAAGAGTTGATTAATTAGTGTTAAGCGCCTTGGCCGCGGCAGAAGGTTTCAGGTAAAGTTATGCATTCACACTTATTGAGCATCTACTGTGTGCCAGACACTATACTGTTTATTTGAAATACAAAGATAAGTAAGTTTAGGCCCCTGCTGTCAGGGTTCCCAGAGACTATTGGGTGTGATGGGGAAGGAGTTAAACAGAAATGTACTGAATATCCTGCTTTGTTGCTATGCCAACCAAGAGGGTAGTCACCCCAACGAGACTGGAGCATTGGAGGGTTCAGAGACCTATTTCCAGAGGAATTGAATTCTAAAGTATGAGTTAACAAATGAGGGAGTGGGGTCAGCAGGGTGCTCTGGGCAGATGGTGCAAAGACACCAAGTCGTGAAGGGACATGGCACGTTCACCAAATTGTGAGCATAGAGAGCAAAGTGCAGATGTGGCTTGACAAGGGTGAGGTGGAAGGGGCACATATTGAATGACTGAATTTATGCTAAGGCTTCTAGGAATTATTCTCAAGCCATTATTCGGATTTACTTTACCTCTTCTCGTCCCTCCTCCTGCCAAAAAAAAAAAAGAAAAGAATTTATAATCCTTAACTAAAATTCTCTTTTGCTTATTCTAGGGCAGTGCTGTCCAGTAGAACTTTCTGTGAAGTTATAAATATTCTATATCTGCTCTGCGCAAAACAATAGCCACTAGCCACTTGTGCTGTTAAGCACTTGCAAGGTGGCTAGTATGACAGAGGAATTAAATTTCTAATTTTATTTAATTTTAATTAATTTAAGTTTAAATTTAAATAGTTACATTTGGCTAGTGGCTACTGTACAGCACAGCTTAAGGATGGCAATGATAATTGCTGTCTTTTGTAGGTTATCACGGTTATTATAGCTATTTTGATTTCTTAAGCATAGGCTGTCACTTGAAGTTTCAGAATCAACGTACTCTCAAACTTAGCAATGTATTAGAAGCTAGAATTTTTTTGATTTTTCTTAAGCTGAACCTCTGTGGGAATAAAGCACCACTTTAAATGAGAGATTACATTAATTTTTTAAAAAAGGCCTTGAGAATGTTTATTCTTTGACTTTAATCAATACTTGTGGTCTCATATTTTAGTCTAATTTTTTTTTTTTGGTTAATAAAATTGTTTTATGTCCAGATAAATTCAGAAAAAAATTTCAAAATGATTTGTTTCCCTTTTAACATAAACATTAACTGAGAGGTAGTACAATGTAATGGAAAGAGCTTGGATTTTCGAATCAAGTAAGCATTGGAAGCCTGGCTCTGCCACTTACCTTTTTGTGCCCATTGTAGTTTTGTTTCTTTCATGTAAAAATGATGATAATACATCTTGGATTGATGGGTATGAAGTACCTGATACAGTGCCTGGAACATAATAGATGGTTGATACTTTGCATCTCCCCTAACATTGGAAGTGTGTGTTGAATATATACAATTTCATCTAGATTTTCCTTTTGCCTTTTTATACAGGTCTCTTTTTAGAACTGTGTTTATATTGTACTTTGTTTTAAAAATTCATTCTTTTAAATTTGGGAATTATTCTACACTCAGGACAATAAAGAGGCCTGTGGCTCTTCTGAAGTCATGTAGAAGTCCTTTAAAGGTAGCTAAGCTTTTTCTTATCCAAAGATAAATAATTACTGTACCTTCATCAATGAGAGTAAGGTACCCATTTGCCCCGAGGAGAAGCCCAAAGGTAATATTTTAATAGTTTCGTGTGTGTGTGTATGCATACACACACGTGATAAGTGAATCAGAGTGCATTCTTTCGTTGGAAAGATTGCAGGTTTTACTCTCCTCCCACTCTCTGTGCTAATACAAGCAGGCGTCAGTACTTAGTACAGTCGTGTGCGGGGAAGTGGTATGCCAATAATACTACTTGCACTTCTCGGCTCTGTTGTGCTGACCTTTATGGAGTTATTCATTTTTTATTCCAATGCAAAAAAAAAAGAAAAAAAGAAGTTTAGATATTAGATGGAAATCACTGATTTAACTGAGTTACCCTTTAAGATGCCCTTTATTTTTCCTAGGTTGAAGTTACATTATGCATCTTATGAACCCACAATGAGGGTGTTACATGAGAAGCACCACACTCTACTGAAGCAGAAAATGCTAACCTCCTTGGAAAGAGACAGAGCAGTCAGGCAGGTAAAGAGATGGCAGAAGCTACCTCAAACTGATTTTTAACCATTTATTTTTTTTATAGCATAAGTAAAATATTGGTTTTGTTTCTGAGAGAAATTTAAAAAGGTTTCCACCAATTCCCATGTTGCAAAAAAGACTCATTTGGAAACATTCAGAAAAAGTATTTTATCTATTTTAAACCTAGAAAGATTATTTTTAAATATTATTTAATTAAAACATAAATTTATAGCAGATTATTAAAGTATAGTTGGAGGAAAAAACTCAGCCATTGTGGTCAAACTTGGGTTTAAATGCCAGCTTTGACGGCTATAAACACGGACCTTACTTAAACCCTTTGAACTCATATTTCTCATATGTAAAGTATAGTCGCAATGACCTACCTTTTCATATTGTTGTGAAACTTATACAAGATAATAAATAAATATCGCCTAGTTACTGATTCAATTTGCGCTCATTTTTGCTAGACACCCTTTTCCATTCTTCTTGCAGGATTTTTACATAGGGTAGGCCTAGGGCGGTGAAAAGGAACATTTAGTATAGAATTCAAGGAAAATAAAACAAAAAATGTTTATGGGCCACATTAAAAATATGTAACAGTTTATTAGAAAATAAAAAACTGCAACTATGCTTAACATTCTTTTATTGTTTTCTGGAGATTTTCATCTTTGGCCAAACTTTCAGAAGCTACAAAAGCTTGCATGGTGGTTATACTCTTCCTTGAATGATTTTATTGTTAAGACACGCTTTAATCAAGTGTATTTTGTCTTTTCTTGAGTGTAATTCTTCGTTACTAAAGTGCAAAACATCACTTGTCTCCGTGCTTCTTTGTGCTTGAATTTTAATTTTGTATTCTTGAATGTCTGAATTGTGTAGTAGTATTGCATAAAATGAGTGTAATATTAATTTACATTTTAATGGCATTATATGTCAAACCTTCAGAATTTCATTTCCCTGCTCCTTTTCATCTAACCTGTCCCCCCAGCCTCCCAGCAAAAGGCGCATTTCTACATCTTGGGGTACTGCGAGCTAGATTCAGGTTGCTCCTACCTCTTATCCTGCTACAGGCGCAGCCTAGACTTCTGCTACCCATCTTAACTCTCCTTATCCCTCTGGTCTCATGCTTATCTCCCTATTACCCTTCTCCAGGGAGGCATCCATCAGTGACCTGGCCATGCATTCCCAGGTGACCACTTATACTTCGGCATCTCTGACAGGCCATTCAGCCTGAGTTTCAATGTTCAAGGCTACCAGGACCTTCCAAGCATCCATGCTGGCAGTGCCTACACTCTCCTTCAGACTGTTGATTTCTCCGTCTGCACTCTGCCCAGTACTGGATCTGCCACTCATCTTCTGTGTGATTAGGGCTAAGTTATCTTCCTGGAAAGGCCATCAGTTCCCCTATCTCTAATATGAGGGGAATTTCTGAGGTTAGATCAAAGGCCATATTGAGAACATATTTAGGCTACATTCAGTCTTTGGGTTTCAGATTGCTCTTCACTGGTTTAGTTAAAAGTGCTCAGGATTGGGAGTGGTGGGTCTGAGTCCCGGCTGTGCTGCAAAGTAGCCATATGAACATTCAGGTCATTTTACATATATGTCTGTTTTCTCACCTATTAAACACAGACAAAATTACTTGCCTTGTGATTGGTATGCATCTAAAATCAAAACATGTTTAAAAAATTAAAATCATTCTCCCAATGAGGCAGGGTTGAATTTTACGCACTACCTTTCAGATGTGCAAAGAACTGCTTCTGTATCATTTGCAACTTATTTTATTTTGTCTTTGAACCCCTATTCCTGCTGAGGGCAAAAGAAAATGTAACCTGTTATTAAAGACAATTCAGATATTTCTGGGTTAAAATAGTCTCTTTCGGTTTAGCACAGGGTGTTTGAGTGTTATAGTAACTGGCTGTTTAGCTAAAACATAACTATCAGTGTTAATTTTCTGTCTTCAAATGGCACCTTCTTCCCCTCATTCTTCCCCCAGAAGGTTTCTAACACAAGGGGCACTTATGCTTGCATATGGCCTGAAGTCTACATGCTGCCCTCTTGGCCTTCACGTTCTAGTGTAGTGTGACTGGTTTGGTCGTCTTCCTGGTATTGGGGTACATGATTCTGGGTGGTTCTTTTGAATGTGAACCTAAAATACCTTGCTAAATCCATGGCCTCTGCCACAGCATCTTTGAGATCCTTAACATCTGTGGCTTCGTTGTCCTGGCTCTCATCCTTTCTCTGATTCAGTGCTTCAAATGTTAACATTTTCATGTACCCACTGAGACTTGTTGACACTTCTGATTTCCCTGTACGGCAAATACAAACCATAGGCAAGTTGGAAATCACTTATAGTCTATCTGTGTAGACACACCTCCTTCAGTCAATTTTCAGACACCACCTGGAGGGTATTATGTTTTTCCAGCACAATGCAAAATATAGTGGTCTCTTTAAGGGGCTGTCAATTTTCTTAGACTGTTCCCTGAAAAGCTAGGAACAAGTATAGTCTATACTTGGAGTATCCCTGAGCTATCTGGCTTTGCTTCCAACTAGCCCATTTAGGTTGTTAGCTTGAGAGGTGGACCAGGTCACTCAAATCTGACCTCTTGGTTCTTCCGCTTCTCAGGCACAGCATCCTTTATACGTCTTTATTCTATTGGATGAGACATCTTTCTGTCCTCTTCGACATCATTGGTCACTCTACATCCCCATTTGTCCCAGACAGTCTTAATTTACACCTTTTGTCACAGGGTAATTATTAATAGCTTCCACTTTTATCCTAAAAAAAGATTCAATTTGGAAAATACTAATGAAAAAATTCTAAAGAGTTTATTTCTTCTTATCTAAAAAGGAGCAGTTAGGATATAGAAATAGCTTTCCTCTCTCTATCAAATCTTCTGTTCAAGATGGTAGATTCACTGTCATTTGAGAAAGTCACATTTGAGTAGGAGACGCCGTTTCTGCCATCATAGGTTTCACTATGCACAATGCTAATGCTGGGCACTTGGATGCTCTTCTAGATCTGTTTTATGGCTGTCAGTGGAAAGGAGATGTAGCAGCTGCCATTCTCAGGATGAATTCTCTATTATACATGGTTCTGTACTTCACCAGATTTTGTTCAAGATCCAAAATGGGTACACTTGATTGGTGGAGCCTATGCAGTATTGTTAGTATCCTAGTTACGAGAAAGGGTGGATAAGTATCTATCTATATTGAAAGGTGCAAGACTCACAATTCACTAAACCCAAGGTGCTGTGTGGCCAAAATGATGGTCAGATATCCCTTATACCAGTCTAACCTTAGGATCAATTAGCATAGTCTCCAAATTAGGATAGAGAATATCGTCTGAGTCCTATCAGCTCTGTCTTTGGAGAACAAACCAAGGTTACCATTTAATGAGCTGAACCTTTTGGGGAACCCTTCAAACAAAGAATGATTTATTACCAAACAAGTCTTTTTTTTTTTTTTTTTTTCTATTGGAGCATTCTTATCAGGTATACTCTGGGTATACAGCCACAAATTAGCCTTTTAACTTGAATCTATTAGTGTTTCATGAAGCTGTAGAATGAATTTATTCAAACTATTTTAAAGTGAAAATATTTTAAAATACATGAAAAGTTCCTCTATGATCCGAAATGGAAGATATATCAACTTGACTGCTTATTTTTTGATTATGTCTTTATTTCAGTATTTGATGTAGTTATGCTTTGAAAATTCACTTCTAACCAAAACTTGTAGGATGTGATCTTAGAGCCGTAAGAAGTATCTTATGTTTTCTGTCTGGATTCCTAATCATCTCTTCCTTAAAAACCTTTTATTTTTTTTTTTAATTTTTATTTATTTTATTTTTTCCCCCAAAGCCCCAGTAGATAGTCGTATGTCATAGCTGCACATCCTTCTGGTTGCTGTATGTGGGATGCAGCCTCAGCATGGCCAGAGAAGCAGTGCGTCGGTGTGCGCCCGGGATCCGAACCCAGGCCGCCAGCAGCGGAGCGCGCGCACTTAACTGCTAAGCCACGGGCCGGCCCTAAAAACCTTTTCTTAATGAGCATTTAGCTCACTATGTTTCTCTGTAAACATATAGACCTCTCAAATACCTTCCGTGAAGAAAGGTTAGAATTTAAAATTTTTTAATGCTATTCAGTTTCTATACAAAAGACTGAAAATATACTTTGAGATAACAAAAATCTAATAAGTATGTGTTTTCAAATTATGTTTGTAGATTATAAACTGTAGCAACTTTTAAATTTATTTAAATCTTACAGAAAAATCTATAATTTAATTATTTTCAGTTTTGAAAAGTATTGAAAAAGTTCAAAATTCTGAATTAGAGCCCCATGTTTGAAAAAAAGATAAAATATAATTTGTTAGTATATATAATAAATTATATTTTATCTTTTTTGGATCATGAGGCTCTAATTCAGGAGATAGTCTAAAAAATACATACATATATTTCCTAGGTCTGTCTGCTGAGAAGGTCCAGAAGTAATGACACTCTAGAAGCACAAGTATACCAGTGCTCAGATATCAGTTTCTAATACCATTCTCTGATAAAAGGAAGTAGGGCTCCTTGGAGAAGTGGCTGATCATAGGCTGGGCAGGGAAAAGATAAGATGAGCCTAAAGTATTTGGAGCATCCTATTGTGCTAGAAAGTTAGGAAATATTCAAAAAGTAAAAAAAGGAAGAAAGAAAATACCCGACAAAACAACAGGCGTGTCAAGAGACAAAGGGACTCTTGTGGGCATCTACAGAGTTGGATGGACCACCACCCAAATCTGGTTTGGATGTTGAGCCAGATGTTGCCATACGCTCACGAAGAGGGTTGAAAACATTTATTATTTGCATATTTGAATTCTCTAGGGAGAGCAGCACATGCCTACCATGCAGGTCTGAAATGGCTTGAGAGAGCAAGGAAAGGAGACTGGCTCGGAGGTTTTACTGTGATTAGGATTGGGAGTCAAGTTAAGAGTCCTCATGTGTGAGGAGGGGCCAAAGGAGGGAGCACCCAGCATTTCCTATCAGCTTGTGCAAATGTGGGGCACAAAGAGGAGTGGAGGAGTGGATGGAGTAAAACTTAAAAGCTGTTAGCAGTCAAATATCAAAAACAGAGTCAGACTCATTGCAGGAATCAGCCTGAAAGAGCTCCCAATTGTCAAATTTGGAACTGAGCAACAAAATGAATAATGTAGTGTTGGATTATAACCCAAAGTATAAGATGAATGTCTGAGTTCATAACGATATAAATAGATGATTGAGTACATAATTGGAGGAGAAGAAAAATGTCTCCCTTAAAGAAGAACCCCAAACGACATGCGTAGATGATCTTTCCCTCAGGGAGGTGAAGCTTGTCGTCTCAGCTAAGTGTTGGCTGCACTTAATGACTTCCTTCCAAAAGTACAGTGGAAATGGGAAAAATGTAACTCTATAGTGGAGAAACCTGGCAAATACTTCAGGGAGGTGATCAAGGTTAATATCATCAGTGTTTAGTTATGTTGATAGCATATACCCTTGATGTGGTGGGCTAATAATGGCACTTCTGCCCTGTGGTCTTCCTCTCTAAAACCTATAACTCCAGTCTAATCATGAAAAAACATCAGACAACCCCAAATTTATGGACATTCTGCAAAATATCACCTGACCAGTACTCCTCAAAATTGTCAAGGTCATCCAAATCAAGGAGTGTCTGAGACACTGTCGCAGTCCAGAGGAGGCTGAGAAGACATGATGGCTAAATGTAAGGTAGTATCCTGGATGGGATCCTGGAATAGAAAAAGGAAATTAGGAAAACATTAATGAAATTAGAACAAAATATAGGCTTCCATTAATAATAAGATATCAATATTGGTCCATTACTTATGACAGATGTAGCATGGTAATGCATGACGTTAAGAGAGGGAGTGGGGTGCAGGATGTACAGGAACTCTCTGTACTATATTTGTAACTTTTATGTCAATTTTACAGTATTCTAAATAAGTGCATTTAAAAATTTTATATTCCATTTGGCATCCAAGTATAGATAGAAATTTTTCATTCTTTTTTTACCTAGGTATTTCATGAGCACTAATCTGTAAGTTACAATTTATTATCTGCTATTTTCTATAAATAAAGAAATGCTGCTACTCTGATGGTAGAAAAATGTGTGTATTTGTATATAATTAAACAGATGGTATTTTGTGTTGGTATAATCATATACAATGAGGGATGAGATAGCTTTTTAAAGTTGAATTTTTAATTGAAGTCTATTGTTCAGGAAATATAGGTAAATGGTATGCCGCCAAACTAATAAATGTTCTTAATTATCAAACATATAATAAAACGAGGAGTGTCTGTGAGTGGAAAATGAGCTAAGAGTTTTAGGAAAACAACAGTTTCTTCATATTTTACTTCCCAACTAATACTTACCTCATCTTTAGGGACTTGAAGATGAATTAAGTTGTTGTGAATTAATTTCACCAGAGAAGAAACTCTCTTAAAGTAGAGACCTGAATAATTGTCAAAGTGTGTGATGAGTATTCTTGATTCAGGAAACTATGGCATGAAATAAATGTTTCAGATACTTATCCATATAGATACTTAATAATTGCTTATGGAATTGAATTTAAACGTAAAATTATGTTTTCCTTGTGTTACAATTCATATTTAAAATTTTTAAATATATAGGAATTAATCTGAGAGATTAATACTTTTTTATATTTTGCAATCAATATTTAAACATTGCCTTTTTAAAAACTTTTTTTGAGTCACTTAGTATATAACCCCATATCTTTGGATTTTATTTTTTAGATTTACGGACTTCAAGCAACATTGAAGCATATGGAAATAGAGCATAGTGTCTATACTCCTGAAATTAGAGGTAAAATTAAAATGTGTTAAAACTATAATTTAATATTGGTTAGTGATTTCTCAAACTTATTAGAGTTCAAAATTCTAGAGATATTTAAAAGTGAATAAATGGTGTGGCAACTATTTTACAAATTATAATATTAGTGAAAAGATCAAGAGGAAACATAGATATGATACTGTAGGGATTAATTTTAGAGAAAAATATTTGTAAACCGTAACAGAGAACTTCTGCTTCTGGCCATGATGGAGTACCTGGTACTAAACTAGCCTTCTCCCCATAAATAACCCTAAAAACTAGACTATATAGATGCGGCAGCTACTTTTGGGCATTGGAAAACAGCACAAGTCACTGAAGGCAAGTGACAGAGGAAAATTTATAAGTGGAGCTCTACCATCACCATGGCTTTGTGACTGGGGAACTTTCCCAACCAAGCTCCGTGGAGATGGAGGTCTAGAAGAGCATGACAGTCCTCAGTGATCTGGAAAGACAAAGATCATAGTTCACAAGTTGTTGAAGCAGCTAGAATCTGTAGGGAGGCACACCAGCTGAGAGGGTGCTGCAGTGAGTAGTGGCCCAGTTTGTGAGGGAGTTTACTGTGAGTCCTTAGTTGATGCCTGGGTGACACGTGCACGACTGCCTGAGGCTTACCAGAGAGAGAGGCTTCTGTAGGACTAAGAGGGGCCCAGGGATCCTAGAGGTCAAGCAGTGATGGGAGACATTGGAGTTCTGGCCATGCCTGGGTGGAGAGACCTCTTAAACACCTTGTTATCACCATATTAACATTCAGCATCCTGTACCCAACCTATAAAACCCACAACAAAGCTTACACAGAATTCCTTGGGGAGAGAGAGATTAGAGTTTGAGTCTTGCCAAGTTAGCCTTGGGAAATAGGGCTTTCCCTGGATCCACCCTAACAAATTGTAAAATTAAGCCCAGAATTTCAAGGTGGTCATCAAAAAATTAAACTGCCTATTAGAATAAAAATCAGTACCCTTCAGAGGAATACAATTGCCCAGTACATAATTAAAATTTTCTCAATATGTTGTAGAAACAGGAAAATGTGATCCACAATCAGGACAAAAAGTAATAAATGGAAACCACACTGAGAGGGCCCAGGTGTTGGATTTAGTAGATAAAAATGCTAAAAGTGAATATGATCAAGGACTTAAAGGAAAATATGACATTAATAAATGAAGAGATAGGGAATCTTGGCAGATAAATGGAAACTCCAAAAAAAAAAAAAAAGGAAAAACAAGAAGGACATAGAAATTCTAGTACTGAAAAATACAATGACTAAAATGAAAATTTTACACTTCACAGCAGATTGGAGATGACAGAAGTGTCAGTGAATTTTAAGAGACATCAATAAAAATAATCTATTCTAAAGGAGAGAAAGAAAAACATGGAAGGAAAACTAGCCTGTTGAATGTACATGTAACTGGAGTCCCAAAGTGGAAAGAATGAGAATGGGGCATTAAAATATTGAAACAAAAGATGACCTAAAATTTTCTAAACTTGATGTCAACCATCAACTTACAGATCTGCCCCCTCAAAAAAGCTAACTACAAACACAGACACACAAAATCATGCCTGGATGCATCATATCCAAACTGTTGAAAATTTAAGTGAGAAAATCCTTTGAAAGCAGCAAGAAAGAAAAGATGTGTTACATACAGGGGAACAATAATAGAAATAAAGGCTGATTTCTCATCAGAAATAATGGAGGCTAGAAGAAATGAAATGACTTTATTTTTTTAATTTTTTTAATTTTTTGTTTATTGCAGTAACATTGGTTTATGACATTGTAAAATTTCAGGTGTACATCATTGTACTTCTATTTCTGCATAGATTACATCATGTTCACCACCAAAATACTAATTACATCACCACACACATGTACCGAATTATCCCTTTCACCCTCCTCCCTCCCCCCTTCCCCTCTGGTAACCACCAATCCAATTTCTGTCCCTATGTGTTTGTTTATTGTTGTTATTATCTACTACTTAATGAAGGAAATCATACAGTATTTGACCTTCTCCCTCTGACTTATTTCACTTTGCATTATACCCTCAATGTCCATCCATGTTGTCACAAATGGCTGGATTTCATCGTTTCTTATGGCTGAGTAGTATTCCATTGTGTATATATACCACATCTTCTTTATCCATTCGTCCCTTGATGGGCACTTAGGTTGCTTCCAAGTCTTGGCTATTGTGAATAACGCTGCAATGAACACAGGGGTGCATGTACCTTTACAAATTGGTGTTTTCAAGTTCTTTGGATAAATACCCAACAGTGGAATAGCTGGATCATATGGTAGTTCTATCCTTGATTTTTTGAGGAATCTCCATACTGTTTTCCATAGTGGCTGCACCAGTTTGCACTCCCATCAGCAGTGTATGAGAGTTCCCTTCTCTCCACATCCTCTCCAACACACGTTGTTTCCTTCTTGTTAATTATAGCCATTCTGACGGGCGTGAGGTGATATCTCATTGTAGTTTTGATTTGCATGAAATGACTTCTTTAAAATGTGGAAAAAATTTAATTCAGAATTCTATATCCAATAAAAACAGCCTTCTAAACTTAGGGTGAAATACAGACATTTTAACATAAATGAAAGTTGGGAGATTTTGTTGCAAGCCATTCTGAAGTACAGGAAATACTAAAGGATTTTCTTTGGGCCAAAAGAAAAGTATACCAGAAGGAAACTTAGATCTACAGAATTGAATATAGGGGTTTAGAAGTGTTAAATTCTGGTTAATATAAAGATTGTTTTCCTCTTCTTAATTTTCTTAAAGTAAAAGGAACTGATAAAAACAAAAAATTATAGCATTGCAAGATAATGTTTATAAGGCATGTAAAAAATAAGAAAATAATAATTTTGGAGGTGGTGCAGATGTTCTATATCTTGATTTTGGTGGTGGTTATATGCCTAGTTATCTTTGTCAAAACTTCTCCAGCTTTACTGGGGGGAAGTGTGTGTATTTTATTGTGTGTAAATTATACCTCAATAATGTTGGTTTAAAAAAGAATGATGGGAAACTCTAAAATATAGAAAGACTGCAAAATGGTGAATTTTCTAAGTAATAATCCTATTATTTCCAGATGATTGTTCTTTGTGTTCTCTGATTAATTGAAGCTTAAAAGAAATATGTAGCATTCTCATAATTGAAATTTTCTTCTTAGCCTTGATCCAATAGTTCCTTTCCTAATATTTTATATTAAAGTAATAGTAGTGGGGCCGGCCCCGTGGTTTAGCGGTTAAGTGCGCGCGCTCCGCTACTGGCGGCCCGGGTTTGTATCCCCGGCGTGCACCGATGTACCGCTTCTCAGGCCATGCTGAGGCCGTGTCCCACATACAGCAACTAGAAGGATGTGCAGCTATGACGTACAACTATCTACTGGGGCTTTGGGGGGGAAAAAAAAGGAGGAGGATTGGTAATAGATGTTAGCTCAGAGCCGGACTTCCTCAGCAAAAAGAGGAGGATTAGCATGGATGTTAGCTCAGGGCTGATCTTCCTCACAAAAAAAAAATAAAATAAAATAAAGTAATAGTAGTTATGCCCAATGATGCCTAAAAAGACTATGCACAAGGATGTTTATTGCAGTAATATCTATAGTAACAAACCAATACAAGCGATCTTAATCTTTAATCACAAGTGAATATTTAAATATAGTTGATCATACAATACTAGAAAGTCTTTAAAAATCATGCATAAGAAAATGCTTATGTGATAATGTACTGTTATTATAATGTTAAGAAAACATTTATATGGTATAAGGACATGTCTGTTAAATATATGTAAAGAAAAATGATGGGAGGATGCACACAAAATGTTTACATAATTTTATTTGGGTGATGTGATAATTTTCTACAGTTTTTTCCTTATTGTATTTTCTTTACAAATAATATGTATTTCTGTTTACATCAAAAAATTATGTTTCATATGTAGATAACTTTTAAGAATACAATCATATATACACGTGAAAGCATGCTATAAAACTGTCATACTCTCAGGAACTCTAACTCCCCTAAATGACTAAAGATTGTGAAAAAGAATGTATATAAGAAATCTGGAAGGCTTAAAGTTGAGGGACTTTGTGCATGGGGTTGATGCTTGCATCGGTTAATCTTCAATTCTACATTCTACTCTAATAGTTTATGATTTTATATCTTTATCCTTGACACCTCTATTAAAATAAATGGATGGCTTACAGATAACTTCTTTATGAAATTGTCTCCTGGTATTTAATCTAATTCATAAAAGAAAAACATTGCATGTTTTTCTAGACTGACATTTAATGAGTTACTTTGAAGATCAAATTTGTATTTATATTTTGATCTGTGATATTTTGAAGTGGTTTTTGGTCAGAACAAATAAATTCCAACCCAACACGAAGAAATAGCTTCTTTTGGCTGCATAATCCCAATTACCTGAATAAAATTAATTTCTTGAGTTCTGTACTGAGTAATTTTGTGCTTTTAAAAAACACACACCCTAGTTTTAGATACAGGACTTGCAGTGCCTTTCCCTAAGCTTCTGGTGTTAGCATTTGGCTATGTAATCTCAGACTGTCCTTACTGATTGCCTGCTCAACTTGGAACCTTACTCAGCCAGGGACTGTAATTTGAAAAGAAACTGGTTTATTGGTTATCTGGTTGTTCCTCATAAATCCTGCTGTCCTTCACAATTATTTTTATATTTAACTCCTTCCATCTTCCTTTGCTCATTTTGGTTTCATTTTTAAAAGCTTTTATCTATCTATCTGGTCATTCATCTGTCCATCTATTCATTTATTTTGGGCAGAGGTTGAAATGACAGTAGAGATTCTTCAAATTAAATGTGATTCACTCTGTACTTAGGGAACAATGAGTCGATTGTCATTTACTCTGAATTAGGAAAAAGACAAATTAATTGTTGTTTAATCTGAATTTAGGGAATAATACAAAAATTGGATTCATTTGGACTAAAGTTATCAAAGAATTTTAAACATACCATGTTTTTTGACTATCAAAGTGACAGGCTTATTGTAGAAAATTTTAAAATGATAAAATACATTTTAAAAATTATCCATAATTGCTACCACCCAGAGAGAATAGTATTAGTGCTTTAGTACTCAACTTTCTCACCTTAAAAGTGTTTTTAATTAATTAATTAATTCTTATATGGTATGTAGAATAATAGAAAAATTCCTCAGAGAAACTATGAAATAGTGAATTATTATTGACTGGATATTTGAAGTGACAGTTTTGTATTATGTTTTTCTTTGCTGTGATGAAAAGTAATATGTACCAAATACTTACAAGAAACTACACAGAAAGCACTTTAGTATTATATATTATGAGGTAAAACTTTTTTGTGCAAATTACTTAATTTCAAAAAGTTTATGAATATGCTGGTTTTGGTTGCTATGTTTGAGTTGGTTATTAACTTATATTACTTTAATTTCCTATGAGGTTGCAATTTGAATGCAATAATGCCTATTTCCAAAGCAGGTTAAAAAGGTACATATAATTATATTTTAATATATCTTGTAATTTATGATAGGAAATTATGAATTCCGGGTGAACAGCCAGAAATCGGAAATGTTTGATGAAGTGAAAAACTGTAGAATCTTATTTCAGAGCTTGACAGAGGAAATAGGTGTCATATAAAGTAGAGCAAAATATTCCTTAAGGTTTTTAGTTTAATTAATTGCTGCTTTTTAAGTTGGGTATTTTGTTGCCACTCAGAATCACATTATGAGATGCCAATTTCATGACTACATAAATGGAATATGTGGTCAGTTTAGAAAGAGATGTTATCATTTCAAGTATAGACTCTTATCTTTACCTCTATTACCTTTTTCTGAATTCTGATTAGGAGTGTGCTTGATCTTCTCATTTTAGCTTTCATATGTCCTAATCTCTTAGATATTTTCTATTTATCTCCCCGGGCTAAATTAAGGATAATTTCTCTAAAACCTTATTTTAGTTTAATAATTCTCTTTTCAGGGAGTCAGGGACTGGCACAACATATTTAGGTATTTATTTGTTAAATGAATATACTCACTCATTTCTGACGTTTAACCAGGGGCCTGAACATGTTCAGTTAACATTGGTTGAATGTGTGCTTATGTGAAGGAATGGTTGAATGGGTGAATTTCAGCCCTGGAGGTACAATAAATAAAATTTCTATAAGTGAAAATGTGTTTATTTGTTTATGTATTTATTTATATTTTGTGAGGAAGATCAGCCCTGAGCTAACATCCGTGCTAATCCTCCTCTTTTTGCTGAGGAAGACAGGCTCTGAGCTAACACCTATTGCCAATCCTCCTCCTTTTTTGTTTCCCCCAAAGCCCCAGTAGATAGTTGTATGTCATAGCTACACATCCTTCTAGTTGCTGTATGTGGGACGCGGCCTCAGCATGGCCGGAGAAGTGGTGTGTCGGTGCGAACCTGGGCCACCAGTAGTGGAGCGCGCGCACTTAACTGCTAAGCCACGGGGCCGGCCTAAAATGTGTTTATTTGATGTTTGCTTTATTTCTTTTAAGGAACTGTACTTTCCTTAAGATGTTGATTGTAACCAAGTAAACTTTGGGGAACTGTGTGGCACCAGCCAGTACTGCATATTATTGTCATTAATCAGCCATCGTGGTAAACATGAGGATGCTATGATAGAGACATGGATTTTGCTAGGATATTACTAAACATTAAGAGGCACTATGTGGAATTTGAGAATTTTATGCACTTAACCATGAATGTGACACAAACTTTAATGTCTGAGCCTCTCAATTATTCTACAAATCTTTCTGTAAGTAAAAACAGTGTTTCTCAGAGGGAGAGTGGAAATCATGTTTATTCTTGCTACATTGAGAAATAATTGAGAGGCATTATTTTCTGCCAATTCCACATACATTCTGCCGTGTTTATTCTCATGTTTTCGTTCCAAATGTTGGATTTTTTCCTGAAATATTATTAAAGTGTGAACTTTTGTAATTTCATTTTGCTTGTGTAACAAATACATATACTTATAAACCAACCTCTCTTCCGTTTTTGACTTTCATTTGTTTTCTTTACCATTTTTGTTTGTTTGTTTGTTTCTTGCTTTTTGTTTTATTTCTTTTGTGAAGTGGTGCTTAGTGATATATGTATTGCATACCACCTGAGATCCACTCATATTCCTAGGATTATCTGCTGGAATGCTGGGTTTCTCTTCCTACTGCTTTCTCCTTTCTTCCCTGTAGAAGTTACTATACAGATTCTCCTCTTATGTAAAAGGGAACAAAAGGTAGTGACCTTCACAGAGTTATTGACAGGATTTCATGAAATAATACGTGTCAATTGTTTAGACCAGTGGTTGTTAAGTGGTTGTTATATGGTAAAAGATCAATGAGGCATAAATGCTAATTATTATTTAAAATTATTATCATTATCAGTTTGTCATTCTTGGTGGATGAAGAGGAAAATAAAATAAAAGAGAATTTGAAGTGAAAAATTTTCCTTAACCTCAACGAGCTGTAATTGTTGCCTTTCCCCCTCACTTGGCCTTCCCAGGTGCTGTGGGGCTCTACCTTGTAGCTCCACTGAGGGATGACAGGCAGTATGGATACCCAAGTGTTCGAAGTCTTTCGAGTCCTTTCATGTTGAACTAAGTTATGCAGCATTCTGTTTTTATGTTATTGTGTGGGTTATTTTAAGGATTTTCTTCTTTGTCTGGAACTAGTACTGAATAGGGAAACTGAGTCAGATCAGGAAAGAAACTCAATGCCAGCCATATGCTTCCTTACCTTTGCAACCTCAGTATTCTTTGAAAGCCTTGACATTGAAATCATCCAGATATTTTTGTGTTCATCATCTTTTCTCTATTATAAATCTAGTGTTATAATTTATAACATTGAGTTAGTTTTTTATTTATGAGTTAATTATAACCTTTTTAGTTATTTGAAATTGACTTGATGTTTAGAAATACAGGGGAAAATTATATACACCTAAACATATATGTATATGGAAGGATGTGAAAAAGAAAGAGATTGCTCCTATCGCTTTTATTTTTGCCTCGATGATTCTACTAGGAGTGCTCTTTATGTCCAGCCGAGTTTGGGGACCAATATTACAACTATATTGGAATATTACTCTGTGGAATATTACTCTGTATTCTCCTTTCTGATTTTTTCAACATTGAGAAGCATAGAGAATAATATTTTATTAGTACAATGTTCTTTAAAAAATCTCTTATGTATTATTTAGTTGCACTGGGGGAATTTTGTCATTGCTTACCATTCTCTCCTGTGTCCTTCAACTTTGTTTATAAACACATGAAATCTCATGGTAACAGGGATTTGGATATAATGTAGCTGGAAATTGGCTCTTATGCCTTCTAACTGGCTTGCCATACCATTTCAATAACCTTGTGGTAATGTCACCCTGCATTTTTGGGAAATGAATTTGAGACTTCACTTAAAACATTTTGGTATAGTTTTAATATTACTGTTTTAATACGTTTAAAAATACATGTATCATGACTTTGACTTTCATAGTTTGGTTATAATTTTATATCTTTCAAACAGTATAAGTATTAAGAATAAATTGTATTATCTTGTAGTTGTTCCTAATTGTGAAAAGGAAAATGAACTAGAAGGTCCTACTCAGAAAGGTCTCCGTGAAGCCAGGGAACAAAACAAATGTAAAACAAAGATGAAAGATAATACAAAGGTATGGTATTTATTTTTGTTTCCATTAATTTGTACTTAACTTTCAGATCTTCAGATCCATGGGCTCTTACAGTATCATTGTATTACTAAAAAAGGAATCTAGAAGTTATATATTCTAAGGCCCTCGGTCTACAGATGGAAAATTGAGATCCTCAAACGTTACTAGTAACGAGTTAATTGAGGGACACGTGGTTATTAGTGGCAGAGTCAGCTCAATGCGTCACTCTGCCGAGTGCCCCAACTTAGTCACAGCCATGTCTGCTCACCTGTTCACTCTTCTGCTTGAGATTACCTCTGTCCAAAGGAAATAACTCCCAGATCGTCCCTATTTCTTTGCTCTTAGTATAACTTCAAACTTTTCTTAGTCTTCTTTAAAAGTAGAGTGGAAAGAATTATGCTCCATTTAAGAATCTCTTTATATCTGAGTGCCTTTGCTTTGCAATCAGGCTGATGGTTAAAATCTTCTGTAATGATTAAAGAAAAATGGTATTAAAAATGTCTAGTCAGACAGATCAAAAATGAGGACGAAACAAAATTACATAAAACCTGTGAGGGGTTTAGTTTCTTGTTATGAAAATTGCATAAAAGTGTAGCTGAGGTAATGAATTTTTTTTTTTTTTTTGGGTGAGGCAGATTGAACCTGAGCTAGCATCTGTTGCCAATCCTCCTCTTTTTGCTTGAGGAAGATGGTCCTTGAGCTAATATCTGTGCCAATCTTCCTCTGTTTTATGTACGGCACGCTGCCTTAGCATGGCTTGATGAGCAGTGCGTAGGTCCACGCCTGGGATCCGAACCCGAGAACCCTGGGCAGGGGAAGCGGAACACGCGAACCTAATGACTACGCCACCAGGCTGGCCCCTGAATTTTCTTATAAAGTAATTGTTACCTTTGGGTTCTAAAATATCTGGAATTCATTTAAAAATGTAAATATTTACAATTATAATAGCTTTTTAGTAGGAGTAATTCTACAAGAACAATAGATTTTTGTGAATTCAAATAGTTTAATAAATCATTTACTTAGCTAATATTGATAACATTTTTTCCTCAAAGGTATACAGTGGAATCCAGTATCATATATAATATTTGAATAAAACATAGACTAAACACTTTTAGGGTATACTAAGGCTCTGATAATCACTTTTTTGTACTATTTAGATTAGTATTTTACTGTTCCTCTGTTATCACTATTAGTTTATGTATTTATGGTATTTGAGGTAGATCCCCTCTTCTAGTCAGCCTGCCTCCCCACGCCAGCAACCTGCCATGAGGACAGACTTTCCCCTTTTGCCACCATGGAGCTTTCCCACTCCTCAGCCTGCCTTTAATCTGAGTCTCTGCCAAGTGCCAGCAGTGGCGGTGGATGACTCTCTCACTGTCAGTAAGTTGCACTTGTTCTTATTTGGGTAATCTTTGTTTATCTCCACAGAGGCTATTAATTCAGGGAGCAAGTGAAGCACTCAGAATAATAAAAAAAAAATCAAAGTTAAGAATTTTGGGTATGATGGTGGTGATTGTCATCAGGAACATTTTCGTCTTCTAATAGCATAGGCATTCTCTTCCAAGGTAGTGAAGTCGTACTTAGAAATGATTTGTTGATTCATTCACTAAGTCTTTATAGCTTGTGAGATTCTACATTAGTAATGCAAGCTTGGCTTTTGATGTGACAAAAAGCTACTAAAATATAGGACAAGTACATTATGTATTTATGCATAGTATATTTTTTGGTGTTTCATTAAAATATTTAACGTAATATCTACAACATAGAAAAATTCAGGCCTTACAAAAGTGCTAAAGTGCAGAATAAAGTGAATTCTTTCCCCCTTGACCAAGTAATCATTTTTACTAATATTTCTCCTTTAATTTTCTTTGTTTTGTTTCCTTTTTTTTGTATCTTTGATCAACATCTCCTCAATTCCCCCACCCTCAGCCCCTGGAAACCGCCATTTTACTTTCTGTTTCTATGAGTTCAGCTTTTTTAGATTCCACATGTAAGTGAGAACATAGAGTATTTGTCATTCTCTGTCTGACTTATTTCACTTAGCATAATGCGCTCCAGGCCCATCCGTGTTGCCATGTTGTTGCAAATGGCACGATGTCGTTCTTTCTCATGCTGAAAAATATTCCATTTTATACACACACACACACACACACACAAACACACATACACCACATCTTGTTTACCCATTCACCTGTTGACAGACACTTAGGTTGTTTCCATATCTTTGCTATTGTGAATAATGCTGCAATGAACATGAGAATGCAGATAGCTCTTCAAGATCCTATTTTCGTTTCCTTTGGATATAGACCTAGAAGTGGGATTGCTGGATCATAAGGTATTTCTATTTTTAATTTTTTGAGGAACCTCCACACTGTTTTCCATAGTGGCTGCACCAGTTTATTTACCCACCAACAGTGCACAAGAGTTCCCTTTTCTCCACATTCTCGCCAACACTTATCTCTTGTCTTCTTGACAGCCATGCTAACAGGTGTGAGATGATACCTCATTTTGGTATTAATTTGCATTTCCCTGCTGATTAGTCATGTTGAGCACCTTTTCATGTACATGTTGGGCATTTGTGTGTGTTCTTTGGAAAAACGCCTATTCCGTTCCTTTGCCCATATTTTTATTGGATTTTTTTTGTTATTGATCTACATGAGTTCTTTATATATTTAGATATTTACACTTGATCAGATATATGGTTTGCAAATATTTTCTTCCATTCCATAGGTTGTCTTTTCATTTTGTTGATTGTTTCTTTTGCTCTGCAGAAACTTTTTAGATGATGTAGTCTCACTTGTTGATTTTTGCTTTTGTGGTTTGTGCTTTAGATGTCATATTTGACAAGAGCAATGTCAAGGGCTTTTCCTCTATGTTTTCTCTAGGAGTTTTATGTCTTATGTTTAAGTCTTTAATCCATTTTGAGTTCATTTTTGTGAGTGGTGTAAGATAGCAGTTCAATTTCATTTTCCTGCATATGGTTATCCAGTTTTCCCAAAACCATTTATTAAAGAGACTAGCCTTTCCCCATCGAGTATTCTTGACTCCCGTGTCAAATATTAATTGACCATATATGTGGGAGTTTATTTATGGGCTCTCTATTCTCTTCCATTGGTCTACGTGTCTATTTTTATCTCAGTACCATCTTGTTTTGATCACTATAGCTTTGTAGCATAGTTTGAAATCAGGAGTGTGATGCTTCCAGCTTTGTTCTTTCTCAGGATTCCTTTGGCTATTTGAGGTCTTTTGTGGTTCTAAATTTTAGAGTTTTTTTTTAATTGTATGAAAAATGCCACTGGAATTTTGATATGGCTTGCATTGAATCTACAGATGGCTTTGGGCAGTATGGACATTTTAACAATATTAATTCTTCCACTCCATGAACACAGAATAGCTTTCTATTTGTTTGTGTCTTCTTCAGTTTCTTTCATCAATGTCTTGTAGTTTCCATTATACAGATCTTGCACTTCCTTGCTTAAATTTAATCCTAAGTATTTTACTGTTTTGATGCTATTGTGAATAGGATTATTTTCTTTATTTCCTTTTCATATATTTCATTGTTAGTGTAAAGAAACACAACTAATTTCTATGTGTCGATTTTATATCCTTCAGCTTTACTAAATTTGTTCATTAGTTCCAACAGTTTTTTGGTTGAGTCTTTAGGATTTTCTATATATAAAATCATATCATCTGCAAATAAAGACAATTTTACTTCTTCCTTTCTGATTTGGTTGCCTTTTATTTCTTTATCTTGTCTGATTGCTCTATCTAGGAATTCCAGTACTATGTTGAATAAGAGTGGTAAGAGTGGGCACCCTTGTCTTGTTCTTGATCTTAGAAGAAAAACTTTTAAACTTTCACTGTTTAGTATGATGTTAGCTGGGAGTTTCCTGTACATGGCTTTTATTATGTTGAGGTACATTCCTTCTATACACAATTTGTTGAGAGTTTTTATCATGAAAGGATTTTGAACTTTGTCAAATCCTTTTCTTGCATCTATTGAGATGATAGTATAATTTTTATTTTTCATTCTATTAATGTGATATCACATTTATTGATTTGCTTATGTTGAACCATCCTTGCATCCTAGGGATAAATCCCACTTGCTCATGGCGTATGATCCTTTTAGTGTATTGTTGAATTTAGTTTTCTAATATTTTGTTGATGATTTTTGCATCTATATTCATCAGGGATATTGGTCTATAGTTTTCTTTTCTGTGGTGTCCCATTCTGGTTTTGGTATCAGGGTAATGCTGGCCTTGTAAAACGAGTTTAGGAGTGTTCCACCTTCTTCAGTTTTTTGGAAGAGTTTGAGAAGTATTTGTGTTAATTCTTCTGTAAATGTTTGGTAGAATTCACTAGTGAAACCACATGGTCCTGGCCTTTTCTGTGTTGGGAAGTTTTTGGTTACTGATTAAATATCCTTACTTGTTATTGGCCTGTTCAGATTTTCCATTTCTTCATGATTCAGTCTTGGTAGGTTGTATGTTTCTTGAAATTTATCCATTTCTTCTAGGTTATCCTATTCGTTGGCATATAATTGTTCATAGTAGTCTCTTATGATCCTATGTATTTCTGTGCTATTGGTTCTAATATCACCTCTTTCACTTATAATTTTATTTATCTGAGTCTTCTCTCTTTTTTTTTAGTTAGTCTAGTTAAAGGTTTGTCAATTTTGTTTATCTTTTTAAAAAACTAGCTCTGAGTTTTGATTTTTTCTATTGTTTTTCTGGTCTCTATTTCATTTATTTCTTCTCTGATCCTGTTATTTCCTTCCTCCTGCTAACTTTGGGGTTAGTATGTTCCTCTTTTTCTAACTCCTCGAGGTGTAAATTTAGGTTGATTATTTGAGATCTTTCTTTTTCCTTAACATCTGCATTTATTGCTATAAAATTCCCTCTAAGAACTTCTTTTATAGCATCCCATAGGTTCTGGTGTGTTGTTTCCATTTCTATTTGTTTAAAGATAGATGAAGATTCTCCTTGAGCTAACATCTGTGCCAG